CCAACACAAAGTTCTGCAGTATGACCACGTTTGTAATGATGTGTAGTAAGCTCGCCTCTCGAATATCATCGTCTTCTGAATCCTCAGCACCTGTCGCCGCGTCATCAGAAGGTTCCTTCGGTGGTGGTTGGAACTTCGATAGCATGACCTCTACCTCCTTTGATCCAGCCGGCCGGCGGAAGCGAATACGCCTCTTGCCGAACTGACTCATCCTGATCTGTGATATGCTAGCGTCGACGTCGGACATCAAAGAAGGCTGCTGTACGGCGTATGTTCCTGACATAGGGGACGATGCTCGGGCAGGTGAACCAACGAGTGTCTGGCCTCCATATCTTGATGGTGCGGGTGATGTAGTGGGGGTGTTCCTTGCTTCAGAAAGAGTTTCCTTCCTACCTCTCGGAGATTGCGCTCTTGAGGGCGTTGTCGGTTGGTTACGTACGTGTTGTGGTATCTGCGGTGTCCAAGATCCAACTGGAGTTTCCGAGGGAGGTCGCGCAGGCTTTGACTGAGGCGTCGACATTTTTGACTCCTCTACGAGATCCTGATGGAAGCGGAAAGCATGCTTACGGTTCGCGACGTGCTCGTCCCAGTCCTTGATATCGCTGCGCAGGGCATCGACTTGCGTCTGGAGACGTTGCAGGCATGCAAACAGTTGAGGAGTAGCAGAGGACTCCCATTTCGGAAACCTTTCTGCCAGGAACATGGCGCGCAAGTTTTCATTCGTGAACGACTCGACTTCAGGACTGTCGCTTTCGAAGTGATAGTCGGCAGGATCCACGGATAACCATCCTTCCAGACGTAGCTGTGAGCAGGTGCCGAGCGTAATCAATGCCTCAGTAAGCGCCAGGTTTGTCTCGACATCGTTCGTAAGGAACCTCAGAAGTAAATCCATGAGAGACTGGAAGAGCGGATCTTCTGGAAGCAACTGATGTGGATCCACCTCCCTAGCTGAAGCTTCCGTCGAGTCGAAGTATCCTGGACTCTTCGATGACGTCGTGGGTAAAGCGATGGTCTTCAAAGAGCAGGGATGTGACTCCAACAAACTCAGAGTATCTTTTAGATAGTTCTCGTACGCTTCATCAACACCTTCCAAGCCGGCGAGATCGATGGCAAGGTTTAGGTACAGCTCAAGCTCCTTGTTCAGGGATCCAACAGTTCTATTGTGTTCTTTATGATGCAAGTTCATCACCTTGACGAGAGATCCGAGAGCGTATCCATGGCTTTTGCTCAGTATCACAGTCGTCAACTTCAATGATGCAATGACCGTCTGTGGATTGCGCGATGCGGTGCTTCCCAAGACCAAGTCGACCAGATTAAACAAGGATGGGTTCAATTTGTCTTCATCCTTATCCGATGCAGTAAGCAGCATAAGTGACTGACGGCGCTTGACAGCTGCGGGGGACCGTGGTGTCGTGGTAGACGCGTAGTCCAGGAGTGCGAGTAGATACTGAAGCATCATGTGCACGAGCTCGGGGTGGTCAAGCGCATCTAGTATATGGCGAAGGTACGTAAGTACTGCGACGGATGAACCGCCATCGGCGTCGGACGACTCAAGTAGTGAAGGGTATCTGCACGGAGTCAGCTGTGTACATATTGAAGACATATGAGAGTAACACACAATAGCTGCTGGAGGAACAAAGCTTGGAAGTGGTCAATCAATGTTACTCTAACATCCAGAGATCTGCAATGCTCGAGCACATCTTGCCAGAAGGCAAGGTAAGACAAGAAGGTGAGCAGATGGCTCTGGAAGTCGGGTGTGAAGAAGTTCTCTGCTTGTGGATTGGGCTGCATCTCGGTATAGTCGGAGAGTAGTAAGACAGGAGGCAGGTCGTGCGCGGGGTGGAGTATCGACAGCTTTCTGGACAATGTTAGCTTCGTTGTCTCGGGTTCGGTGCGCTTCATACCTGCTCATCTGGCTGTATAGTGCTCCTAGACCGGTCGCCATCAGCGTAGGCAGATCGCTGTTGACGATCCACTGCTCTAGATCCATGGACCTAGACGCAGACTCGAAAATGTACAGCAATCCGGTGCGCGCAAAATCCCCGATACGGCCTTCGTGGTGGACATGGTCGATGAGCTGATAGCACAACGGAAAGTCCTCTTTCTGTGTGACGCCGGCGAAATCGGTTTTGGGATTCAACACTCGTCCCTCACTGTTTGCGGATGTAGTCGTAAACCAGACATGCAGAATCTCTGGCTGTAGCCGGATCTTGGCTGCGATGCCGAAGAGCAGCTCCACGATGTCGGCCTCGATGTCCTCTCCTATGCCCATGCTGCCAGACCCGACTGTGCGGTCGATGAAGTTCATGAGCGAGGCGGCGAAGACGTCGTTCTCGAGGAAGTCCTCTTCCTCGCTGTCGATGAGGGCATTGTAGAAGGCCACGGCGTCCCTAACGGTACCCTCATCGTGTGCCGTCGCCGCGATCTTGGAGACAGCCGTGTATATCTGCTGGGCGGCGGCGAACTGGAGGCACATGTGCGGCGCCGGGGATCGCGACTCATCGCTGAGGATGGCTGTGAGGGCCTGGAAGCCGCGCCGGATGTTGCCCAGGGCTTCGCGGTCGTGGGCGAGGTTGGTCGACTTCTGCCATGTTTGCTGCCGTGTGTCAGACTCGCAGCATTTCGGGTTACGCAGCCAGGCCTACCAGTATCTGATTGTAGCGCTGGCGGAAGCGTGCCAGCCGCTGTTGCGGGTTGTTCGGGGCGGCCTGCTTCTTCTTCTGGGACGACCCGCCGAGTAGCCTCACCCACTTGCTGTCGTCAGTGCGCGAACCATAGCTGCAGCAGGGCGAAGACGTACGAAATCCATTTGATGTCCTACTCACCCCGCATTTGCGCCGTGTACGTGGGGTCCAAGGGTGGAAAGGAGTGATGTCGACGCGGAGCGCGCCGTTGTGGTGCGAGCTCGAAACCAATCGCGTTGCATCCTTCTCCGCAGCGCAGGCAGTCACTATTCACAACACACAACCTTGGAAAGAGTCTTGGGAAAGCACATTTGACATCAAGTATTATTAACATTACCAAGATTCTACAACTGCAAAGAACACACGGAAACATCACAAGCTATGAAAATAGGAAAATTCGCTATGCACACAGTCAAACTCAGATCGCAGCCTCCTCCTTCGTCCACTTGACCTCCTTCTTGACCTTGTCCCCATTCAGCGTCGGCAGCCCACTCATCCCCAGCATGTAATCCCTCCCCTTCAGAACCCACACGAAGAATGAAGGTACCTTCCATCCAAAAACGGCACCAACACCGCCTCCGCTACCGATGGGGACAACCATAGACTCCGTCGTATTAGCCGTGTACACTCTGTCCTTGCCCTTGGGTTTCGCCTCTGGAAGCATGGGGTTGTAAGAGAGCAGGTCGCGCTTGATGTTGGTGACTAGGGTAGGTAGAGCCAGGTTAATGTCCCAGTAGTTGTTGCGCGAATATGATGCGATGTCGCCGAAGCCGTAGACGCGGGGGCCTGCGATGTCGACGCGAAGGGTGGAGTCGTTCGTTACGAGGTAGCCCTTTTCATTGAGCAATTGATCTGGCAGCCACGACGAGTTTGGTTGAACGCCGTAAGCGGGAACGTAGAGGTCTGCTTCAAGCTTGCCACCGTTCTTGAGGGTCAGCGCCGTGCGACCATCTTTTGTCTGCGTTGAATCGACCACTCGCGTGTTGTAGACAATCTCCACCCCGAGCGCTTTGAGTTTCTGCTCTGCAACTTTGGCGATTGCAGGCCGGAGACCGGGGAGAAGCTGCTTGTCCGATGTAATCAGGGTAACGTCAACTTTTGGCTGCACCTTGCTGAACCATCCTGGCTTGCCGTTGCGATGCTCAGCAACTTCGCCCGCAAATTCTACGCCTGTTGCGCCTCCTCCAACGATAACAATCTTCTTCGCCGATGCGATTTGCTCATTTGCCGAGCTAATCGCGTTCAGGGTACTTTGAGCATCGGCGCTCATCGAGAAAGCTTGGAAATAAGTCTTGCTTCCAGTTGCCACGACGAGTGCGTGATACGTCAATGATTCGTCTTCTTGTCCCTTGTTGCTGCGAAATAGGAGGCGTCGCGATGATGGCTCTAGACCCGTAGCAGAGGCTTCGATGAAAGTAAAGTCGTCTTTGGAGTACTGCTTGAAGCCCTCATGCAGATCGAAGAGGACTTTGTCCGTCGACATGCGCTCAGTAGAAGCTGCCACTCGTGGAGAGGCAACCCTGAAGTACCACTGTGAAGATGGCGAGATGTTGTAGACATGATACTTGGCGTCATTCTTTGCCTTGAGAGCTGGTAGAATGTGCTTCAGGATGTAATGGGTTGCCTGTATGCCCGCGCCCGATGCGCCAACAATGACAATGTTGCGTTGTTCTGACATCGTGAAAATGGTCGTGCAGGAAGTCGGAAGTGATGTAGAAGTAAGTATATGAGATGATCTGTGATATGCTCGATATGTCTCGAAATGGGATGTTGAGATGCAATGTGTTAAATGATCTAAAAGCCGAAGATGCGTTGCTCTACATATACTCACCTCTTCAACCGCGTATGCACCGAGCGCCTGTCATCACCTGAACGACGGACCAATTTTTCGGGAAACTTGTAATCAAGCACTGAGCCCCAGTCACATCAACGTAAGGCCCTACAGACATTTCCTCGCTGTGTCGGCCGTTAACGCGTCGCGATAGCACACAAGCGAGGTTTGTAATGAGGGAAGGGCAGAACCGCCGGTCGGATGCCCACAGATCCGTGAGACCGACAGTTCGTAAGCACATCGCCAAGGCATCGGCAGCTCTCATTGGCTCTGATGCTTAAGGACGCTGCATTTCCGCTTGCTGATCCAAGGATTTATCAATCACTACTGTCTTTTCCCCCCACAAGCTTTATTTGTTTCGCGTTTATGAAACTTAGTCACATTGAACGAAGAATGCGATATCACACCTACTCCCCAATGGACCATGAACACCTCCAGATCCCAGCCACAAGGCACACAAGAGGTTCCTCGATCAGAGCATGCGCTCAAATCAAGTCCACGAAATCGTCTTCATCCTCCCATTCATCACTCCCCGACTCGCTGATTTCGTCATCCGATCCTTCCACCAGCCCATTTCCTCCATGCGCGTCGTTCATGTGCTGGTACACTACCTCCACTTCTGAGAAGACCTTGAGACACACCCAGCATATGTGTCCGTGACAACCGTTGCACTCGACGTGGTTGCATCCCTCGACTTTCTCGATAAGTGTGGCGCATTTTCGGCATTCTTTTGTACCAGCGGCCGCTTTGTACTCGTCCAGAAGCTGCTCGTTACGCTCATTCTTGAGGACACGCGATTCATACTGTGCGCAAGTCCAGCCGACATGGGGCTCTGCATGGCATAGAGTACACGTCTGGGTCAGACATGTACGGCATGTGAAGATCCCATGAGATCCGCCGCGCCGATACACTGCTTTGCAGTCAGGCGCTCGACAGTTGCGATAGATAGCTGGAGAGGATCGGATATAATGATTTAACGATGCCTTGAGCAACGCATCGATCATCGTGCCGGTAGGGTGTTTATGTAGGTCTGCGATGGCTATTGGTTGTTTGCAGTCGTCGTGCCAACATACTAGCGGAAAGTGATCCTTGCTTAGATCGGATGAAGCTACCTCCAGTTGAAGATCGAAGCATTCCTTGCAGGCATAGTGGCCGCAGTTGGAGAGCTTAACGTCGTTTGTCGCATCGTCGCAGAGGGGACATGTGTGGTGTGGTAGTGGTAAATTTAGCTCAGATATAACCAGCCAGGCGGTCTGCTGAGTGCAATGAAGGACCAGTGCTTTCTTTAGCACATCAAGGCTGACTTTTGTCTCACCCAACTTGACCCGAGCACGGGCAACCTTGTCCGACGTAAGAAGCTCTTGGAAGTTTTTCAAAGTTAATTTGATAGTGGTCGTTTCTTCCAATGTGCTCTGCATGATGGCTTTCTCTGCAAGGGTGTGCTCAACAAGCCCCATTCGTGCATCATCCTGTTCAGGATCATAAACACGCAGACGCTGTTGGAACTTATCACTTATGATTGTCACACCGTTTTCTCGTGCCAGGTCTTGTAGCCACCCAGCTCCAGATGCAGTTGCGAAGAAGTCGTGCCAGATCTCGTATCGCGCAGCATGGCCATCTAGTCCCGTGGTCGCTATTCTTCCTGAAAGCTTGGCCTCCAGTATCCTCTTCATGTCGACAACCTCGTTTTGATTTGTTCCCGATAAGCGCAATGTGACCATGTCCTCTCGAGGCTTCCCCCAGACTGCGCTCGCTTCTGCGACTTGCAACATGCAGTTGGTGTCTTCCACATTAACGATGACAGCGTCGGAGAGCTCTTTGAGTGTAGTGAAGTACACAGTATACATCAAATGCGCGTCCAATTCTGCGTTGCCGCTGAGATGCTTCAAGGCTGCAAGCGCATGTTCCGGTAGGTAAAAGCCGGCGATATGGCTCGTGGGCAAGCGTCCACGCACGCTAGAGTGGAGTGTGTTGTTGATGTCCACTCTATAGTAGGTCTTGAGCGAACCAGCAACCGATTCAAGATCGGCCTTCATGGCTGACGACCCAAAGTCACTGCTTGGACGCCATGATATCAGTATCCGTCGTTGATCCGTAGAAGAGTATGGAATGAGTTGGTACCGAAGGCTGGGTGCAATCGGTCCACGCTAGCGACATGAGCAGTCGCGGTGGTGGCGCGCCACTTTCCTCCCTACATGGCCATTGCAACGGCATGAAAACAATGGCCCACTGCAAGCGACGTGAAGAAGGTACCACCGGTGTCCCACGTCTTAGGCAATCGTTGTTCCGTTTCTTTTGTGTGGTAAGGTGCTTTCGAACAACCAGTCATTAGGGCCCATCAAACACAAGCAGAGATCAACAAACATCACGCATATCGCTGTTTGCAGGCACCGGAAGCAATTTGCTTGTCATGGTCGCCCTTCAGGACGCCCCTTTCGACTCCTGTAATAAGATAGGTACGATATAAACCCTCCATGCGCCTGTCCACGCACCAACGCCGATAAACATGTTGACTGTGCAAATGATTCCACAAGCATCAGAATCATGCGGAGTGCAGTGCCTCCAGATCAAAGATACCTTCGTCGATGTTGGGTTCGTATTTGTGTTCCATGTTCTCCATATCGAGATAATCGTACGCGTTGTTGAGACATAAGCTTGGAAGCGATAGGGATGGTTGTGCGTGACTGTGCTCTTCGAAGCTGGGGTGGATTGCGGATAGCGATTCCGAAGATTCATGCAAACTAAATCCCGAGTTCAAAACGGGATCTGAAAGGTATGGTGTCCGTTGAGCGGGGTTCCTTGTTTCAACACGAGGGTAAGAAGTGGTGTCGTGGTCGCCGAGAGAGTAGCTGTACGTCGGAGACGAACTAACATTCGCATTCGATGGAGCGTACCCGTGATAAGCGCTACCAGCGTGCGATTGAAGGATCGGGGCGGGTGGTAGACTAGAGCACGCAAAGTCCTCCAGCGACGTGACTCCATCTGTAGAAATAGCCGACAAAGGCTGTGATCTGATGTTCCATTCCTGGTTGTTGTTGGTTGAATATGGGTCCGCGTTGAAGACTTGTTCGAATGACCAGGGGTCTGCAGCCGCTGGTGTGTACGCATCGAGATTTGTGCTGGTTTTGTTGGCAAGCCTAGGGCTTTGACCGCAGTAGCCCTCGTCATCCGTGGTCGTTCGGAAGGAATCCTCGTGGGACACGGGCGGTGATAGGGGTGTGTGTATGGTCGCGCTCGTTGGAGGGTTCGTCATGAAATCCACTGCCGAATCGACTGATTTCGATCTTGCAGAGTGACGTTCCTGTACGAACCTGCGCGCAAAATCGAGGACCCCGTCTCGAAAGGCTTTCTCTCCCATTGTTCGGCGACCCGCAACGCTCTCAAGCTCGGAGAGTAGTCCATCATACTGGTCACGATCTTCGTTGGCGTAAGGCAAAGGTATGGAATCTTCGGCCTCTTCGGGAAATAAGCGGCGGTAAACCAATCTCCACTTCTCCTCTAGTGTCCTGAGATTACGGTATTCTCCATTCTTAAAGTTGAAATCGGCATTGAGGCGTTCCAGCGATAACCCGTGTACTTGTTTTAAATGATCTCTGCTGTGTGTTAGAACCCAAGCCGGTGAAGAGTGCTGATTTTGAACGCAGACATACTTCAACTTGGCAAGCTCAAGATACCCCTTCCCTTTGCACGATGATAACTGGTGCGCCTTCGGATCATGCTTGTGAAATGGGCAACCCACACGGACTTCCCCCTCTATACCTACCTCGCCATGGTCGCTAGCGCCATCGTCCTCTTGCATGGAGAAGTTGAATTTATCGAGAGCACCATCCACCGGGAACCTGGGTTGGGTCCTGGTTGAAGCGGACCTTTTCCAACCCTTCTGAACCCCACTGGCGTTGCGAATGGGGATGACCGAATTCATTGCCTTCCTTCTAGTCGCCAGAAGTCTGATTGAACCCTTAGGACCAAGGTCCGCATTTTGCTGCGGAAGGGAATATCGCATGGTGATTTCTGTGGATGCGTAAGAGGGAGCTTCTATAGAAAGTTAGCTTTAAGCACATAGAAGAGATTGGAGATTGCATACCAGGCAATCTATATCGGTCAGTCGGTTTCTCTATACGCTTGAAGGCGTTCAAGAGTGCTGACTTTGTTTGCCAGAGATGATAGTGTCTCGCTGCCGGTCAACAAGCGAAACACTACCACCTCGTGACGAGCAGATGATAATATTCAAAAAGAATACTATCAAATGATATGTAACATTGATGTGGCGACAACGTGATAACGATGTATCGACGAGGTCATTGAGAGATCTTTGAGAGATCAAATAACATTGAGTGAACGACGAGTTCAGCAGAAGACACGATGAGTACCTCTCATCTCAAGTTCCAATCAATGCATTATGCATGCAGATCGATGAACACAGAGACGACTGGACCCATCGTAGTGGCTGCTGAACGTCCCAGACTGACAGATCGGCAAATATGCCGTTCTCATCGCGATCCTCAAAAGAGGTTCAAGCGGAATGATGTCTAAGTCTAGATAATCTTGAGATTATAGTCGTTCCATTGGAGTAACAATAAGTGGCACAAATAATTTTTAACACCAAAGGACCTGCACCGTGAGGCGTAGGGGTTGAGACCGGCTTTGGGGAGATGTGGTGGTGTGGAGATGGGGGTATGTAGATATGTGGATATGTGGATATGTGGTGATGGGGGATGGGGGATGGGTGTAGGTAGGGAACTCACAGCGAGATACAGTAGGGCGATGAATGGGATATTGGTGCTCGGCAGGACAGCGTTGATGATGTTCTCGACTATCGAACAGTTAGTCAAAAAGGGCTAACTAGATTTGAAGACCATACCACAGTTTACGACCTGCGCATTGAGCAAAGTGCTCAGTAGATGTGTTCGGTATTGACGCGTGTACGTTGATCGAGCGAAGAGCGATATGTTGGAAAACACGAGGAATGTGGCGTACAGATAGATCGGGGCGAAAGGGGCGGCTTTTTATACTTCGCCAGACGCCAAGCGATTCGGCACTTCCGTGGAAATTATGCTTATAGAAGAATACTGGAAGAACAAAAAGGAAAGCGATCTGTCGCGTTCACCCAGCATCCTGCTGCATCATTGTCGCGGATCATGCCTCTGTCGGGCCAAGCGCGAAACACGGACCGCGTGATCTATGGAAGCAGCGGGAGTGGGAGCTGGGTGCCGATGCATCATGCATCTCGGGTAGTAACGTCTGCTGTTCATGCCAACCAGGCCCTGGGCAAGTCTGCAGTAAGGGTTGACATAGCTGTAATGCTAGAGCAAGAATCGATAAACTCTGCATGCTCTTGGCTGAAGGATTGCGTTCAGAATCAACGAGGGGTAGATAAGGCCGCTTCCGCGGCGAGGATTGATTGGACTGCTACTGCAAGTTTCCAGCTAGACCAGGATCAAAGTAAGACCACACAAGTACCGTATGTGAGCTCAGAACTGAGCTGAAGAAGAAAAACAACATTCATGTTCGTAATCCAATGAAAGCCAACGGACCAACATCCTGGTACGAGCTCTGGGTTTTGGTAGCTTGGGTCGAAGAGACATCATGTTAAGGACAACCCCACGAGTGCCCGAGAAGCCGGACAAATGATCACATCAGCTCCATAGTTGGTCGGGTTCGCTCAGAAGCATTCGGTACTTCCATACCATGATATACGTGACACGTGAACAGCCGAAACCCGGTGAGGTAGAACGAAGATATCATTCGTCTGGTGCTTCAATAGCGTCTAGTCGATGTCATTATACACTACCCCTCATACCGGCAACGGAGTTTAATCATCTTGGTCCCAGTTGCCCGGCTGCGCCTTTCCAGGCATCTTGGGTCCACCAGCTTGCCTTGCGACAATGATCTGGTCGACACTGAGAACCGTCCTCGCAGCCTCGGTAGCGAGCTTAATGGCCCACATCTTGCTGACCCAGAGATCGAGAATGCCCTCTTCCTTGGCATCGAGTGTACCGGTGTTGTCGTCGTTCTCAATATCGACACCGACAGTCCACTCGTCGTCTTTCCTGCCTTTCTGTGCAGCGTGTGCGACGTACAGCTTGGCGAGAACCTCAGTTGCGTCCAGACCGGCTGACTCTGCGAGAGTTCGTGGAATGACCTCGAAAGCTTCAGCGTACTTGCGGATAGAGTATTGCGCCAGACCGGATGTCTTGTCCGCAATGGCCTTGATCTTCTCAACAAGCTGCATCTCTGTTGCTCCAGCACCTGGGACCAGTCGAGGATCACGGGTGATGGCCTTGACCACGTTGACACCGTCGTCAATCGCCCGCTCAACGTCGTCGAGGTGGTTCTGAGTAGCGCCGCGTAGAACCAGAGTCGCGGTCCGTGTCTGCTCATTCTCCTGTCTGAATACTGTGACGCGGTCACCGCCAATTTCCAGTGTCTCAACGACGTCGATAGTACCCATCTCATCTGGCATAGGTGCACCGAGACGAGCGAGCGGCGTAGCACCGACTACCCTGCATAACCGTCGAAGCTCGAATTTGGAGAGAACCTTGATGACGAGGATGTTGTAGCGGTTGAGGTAGTGAAGGGCCAGTTCTCCGATGGTCGAGCCAGCAACAACGACCCTCATACCGGAGTCGTGGAGCTCCTTGATGACCTGCTCCACCTGCTGCTCCTCGCCCTTTGTGAAGTCCATCATCTCCTTTGCGTTGTGCAATAGTACCGTGCCCTTGGTCTCAGTCTGGGAAATGTCGATAGGACATGAGAAGACTCCGACCTTGGCCTTTGTCGCCTTTGTGACGGTACCGTCTGGCTGTCTTGCGAAGACCATGCCCTTGACGACCTTGCTCTGCTCCAGGGCACCACCCATGATCTTTACTACGCGGACGTTGTCGACATTGAAGTTGACGGGGTTCTTGGGGAGGACGGCGAGAACGGCTTCGGCGACGAGGTCAGCGAGGAAGTCTTCGCTGCCCGACTGTTTGGCTGCGACTACGGTGCGGATGGCTTTGCTGAGTTCTTGCTGCGAGCGGATGTCTTCGACTTTGTCGCATACCAGTTCTGCGATAGGTTAGCCCCGATTCAGCTGCCAGTTTGCGTGAGTGACATACCCTCCAGTGTCTGCAGAGCCGCAAGCTGTGCCTTCTCGTAACCCAAGACAATGTCACTTGTCTTCAGGCCCATCCGTATTAACTCCTCCGCCTTCTTCAGCAGCTCGCCGGCCAGGACGATGACCAGATTTGTCGCATCACCCATCTCTGCCTCTTGTTGCTGGCTGGCCATGACGAGAAGCTTCGCCGCAGGGTGTACAACCTCGAGTTCTCGCAGTATCGTCGCCGCGTCTGAGGTAAGGATCATTTTCTGAAGGTGGTTTATGACGATCTTGTTGCGTCCATAGGGCCCGAGAGAGGTCTGAACGGTCTGGGCAATCGTCCGGCAGGCGTCGATGTTGCGAATAACAGCGCCATCTTCGGCGTCGTAGCTGTTGCGGGGTGGTTAGCTGGTTGTTTACTGTGATTGCGGGGTTGCAAAGGGCCATACTTCTGGTAACCCTGCTTGAATAAGCCGGCGTTAGGAGCGTTGGGTATCGTGAGAGACATGTTGGCGGCGTGTGAGGGGTATCAGGGTTGTGGTGGTGTGCCTGCGTCTAAGCTCTGCGCGGCGAGAACGCGTCCAGTCCCAAATTTCGATGCCAAGACTTGGAGATCGGGGGAAGGAAACACCGATAATGCACCTTCAACTGTCCCGGGAGTAAGGTATCAGATGTGATATATTGAGATGATGTGTACAGCTACGCTACGTCACTTGGGTCTTTAATCGTGCGCCCTCTCGGGGGTTGGAACGGGGGGAAAGGCGCGTGAAGTTATCAGCCGCCAACGTTGTTCTGGCGATAGTTACGGTACACCTGAGACCGCTCTGCTTGAAAGCATACATAGACGCACACAACGCATGAGCCAGCGGATAAGCTGACTGTTGTGCCATCTTAAACATAACGTCGTCACATAGATAAGCATGCAAGCGTGTAAGGTCCTTGAGCGCGTAAGAATGTGAGCAAAATCTATCTAGCCGTACACCTTAGGATTTGTGAAGGTACCGCTAGCGAAAAAGACTGCTCGACTCCCTCTAGGCACCGTTAAATGACCAGGATCTCATGACAATGCGAGTATGCTGGGGATAAGGATAGGTGCCGTGGAGAAGAAGAGATGGTGTTCGCGCCGAAGAAAAGTTAACTCGAAATATCTGCTTAGGTAATGCCGCTAGACCCAATGCACCTCCGCTCCCCGAACTTTTCTGAGATCTCGAGATGGCAGCGGCTGCATCGAGATACCGCGGAGGGCACTGGGAGAAATGAACGCCGGACAGCAGACAACGAGGCGATTGGCCTCACGAGCCGGTATGGAATGCAATTGGGGCTAGAGACAACTGGAGCGCTGACGAACGAAGGTCAATCAATATGTCGCTCATGTAGAGACACCGTCGCCCGCACATATGCATCTGCTGCCGCCGCGGCTGTCCAAACCGAGGACCAAGTTGCCCAACACATTCCTCCCGTTGCCCAGGTATCGCCGTCAACATCCTACGCCGTCAACGCAGGTGTCGTCTTGTCCCGCCCCCCGCAAATAACACGCGACCTCCACCCTTTCGAAGCTGCCTTCTTCCTATACCAACGACGATTGAACGAACGACTTGCGCTACCCTTCACAAGATACTTCTACGTAAAGAAGCGAACACCTGCAGACCTAGAATGGAAACGGAAAATGAAGCAACGGCTGACCCCCGCCCGCGACATCGGACGATATCAAGGTTACGGAGACGAAGCATGGAACGACGAGCTCCTCGTAGGAGCACAAGAGAGCGACTTTGAACACCAGGTTGGCAAGCTTATCGAGGACGCTGAGCAATCTGGCCTGGAGGACGCATCGGACACCACTGGCGCAAAGAAGATGGAGCGCGAGCCCGTAGAGAAGCCAATGCCGAGGATAACAGAAGCGGATCAGAAGAACGACACAAAGAGCTTGAATCGCGCGCTTCAGAGAACGCTATATCTGCTTGTTAAGAATAAGGAGGGGCAATGGCAGTTCCCACAGGATCGCTTGAAGGAGGAGAATCTGCACGGCGTACGCAATACCACATCCTATGGAGATCTACTGAGATGCTAACAACTACCAGGCAGCGAGTCGTATCATCACACACACCGGTGGCATTAACATGAACACTTGGCTGGTCGGCCACGTGCCAGTTGGTCATCACCAGGTGGACTACCGCGAACCCAAGCCCACGGGCGACCTCAAGGAGTACGGCTCCAAGACCTTCTTCCTGAAGGCGCGCATCATGGCCGGCCAGGTCAACCTCAAGGAGAACAAGCTTGGTCTTCAAGACTTCAAGTGGCTAGCCAAGGACGAATTGCAGAAGGAGGTAGACGGCAGCTACTGGCGGCAGATCAAGAACATGTTGGCAGAGCGATGATTGATATGTACGACCAATGTATTCTAGCGTTGATACTGAACGCGTGTAACTCATGATATTCCCGGTAACACCATGCAAAGCAATCATGATGGATGCTGCGCCGAGATCGCTGGTCAACGATAAAAACTCACTGTGAAAGTGAAATCCACATCAGCATGTTTGAAAACAGGAAGGACGTTGAAAACACGACTGACATTCTGTGGACACATATCTTCCATAACGCGAATAACTTTTCCCCAGCGACCATTATAAATTTTACCCCTCTCATCTCCAAGCATAGCTCTCATCCTGTGACCCCTATGTACACTTCTCCCAATCATAACTGAACCCCTGCTGCGCGCCATAGTACTGGTCACCAAGCGCCTCGCTGTAGGAATGCTCACTATCTACAACACCCTTCTGACCTTCCTTGCCTTGTACCCACATCTCAGTGCGGAAAGTGAACGTACCACTTCCGCAATTAGGCTGAGGAATAAGCTCGGGTGGGTAACTGATGTTGGAGTAGTGTTCTTGAGCATACGGACCAGATGAAGCAGGACCAGTCAGGTCAATGGTATCGGCGACCTATTGGAAGAGTCAGTATATTGCCTATACATGGTAGGGTTCAGTATCGTGGACAACGTACCTCAGTTCTTCCAACCCCTTCGCCCACGTAGTAAGCAAAGTCCCAGTAGACTTGCACTCCCTCATCAAGCTCGTACGTCATGATGCCCTTTGTACCGTTCTTGTGCAGCCTCAGCTTATAGTCTTCTGCCTCAGCAGTCTTGTCGAAATCCTTGTACTCCTTGTATGCCAGCGTCGTCTCGCACCATGTATGGCGGGGGCCGGCCTCGAGGTCGACACGCATCCATGGATATGCGATGTACCAGTAGTAGATCTCGCTGCCATCGACGGTGTTGGAGCCAAAGGTTGGGCGCGTGGTGCGCGAGACGGTGCCGTTTTTGCCGGAGTCTGGACAGCCTGGGCCGCGGATGGAGGAGATGGTGAACGACCAGTTCGGTGGGAGGATACGAAGGGGGTCGGCGGAGGGCGAAGGGTGCGCGAAGGTGGTCGCGAGGCTAAGAAGAGTGGCGGCAGTGGTTGTATACCTCATCGTGGATGTGGTAAGCAGAGCTCAGGTAGATGATTAGTTGAGATTGAATCTGTTGTTTCGTGAGCAGATGCTCGTTCTCTCGAGTCCTTCATGTAGACTTTATATGTGTCAGTGTAGTCTTTCGCGTCTGTATAAGGACGTGTACTCTGGGTAAAGCTATCATCACGACATACAGACAACAGCTTCGGTAATCATCCGCAGGCCCAATTAGCACGTAACCCCACATCGTCACGGAAATGATTTTAGATTGCTATAGAAGCAGAATCAGCAATATGCCATGCCAGTATAGCGATCGCAATATCGAGGCGAAGTCTGGTGATGTTGCTCGACGTTTATGAAGGCTGGAAGAGTATGAGTGAGGGGAGATGAAGTCAGGCGGCAGTCGCCCAAAGTGTAATTGACTGTTCCCTGTTCGCGGCTGCATGCTGCGCTGAGCGGATATCCGGGGTGTACAAGGCCGATGTCCTTTGATCGCGCATATGCAGAGTTGATCGCGTTCATATGAGGTTGTTCCGTCAATATAAGGTTAAACGGAGCCGTGTGGGGAAACCTGGAAAGGGAGGGTATGCAGCCGCTTGTTAAGGTGCTGACGCTGTGCAGCACCGGCCGTGTCCGTCAGCAACATGAAACACAACGAATGAAGGGACGTCAATAAGGTGACGGTTTCCATATCCGTAAACTGATACGTCAGTCTTTAGCCTATAGTGATTGTTGTACGTGTGGAAATACGAATGTGTTGAGTGCGTGTCACCATGGCTGGTTGCTCCGGAAAGATGTGACAGCATTTCGGAGAGTTGTTGTCATCCGGGATTCGTCTAGAAATCTGATCTTTCGTATGTATTAGCGCTTGGCGGAATGTGAGAAATTGTGAAGCGAGAGCTTCGACGGAAATGGGTTAAGAGTGCGCTATCGATGACGAGTATCGTTGCTACTATGCGAAAGGATACCAATTACAGAAAATTACTGATCAAAGCTTGAAATTGGAGTACTTCTCAGTCACTGAAAAGTCAGGGGCGACCCCGATGCAGTGTTGAAGTCCGATAGTGAAGACCCGTGAACCCAATTCCACCATATCTGCATTGCTTGACCTGCTTCTGGAACATTGGGGTGATAGGAGAAGACCAGCGTTTCGAATGATCAATTGCAATCATGCTTGGCAAGCTCTTGCCGAAGCGGTATGGAGACGGAAATGCTGATGTAGCGTTCTCATCGGTTTGCTGGGTGAACCCTAGCGATGATAACAGGCTTGCGGCCCTTGACTTTGGAATATCGCAATACGACCACAGCAAGTGATCCTACCGGTTTGATGTGATGCGGTCTAGTACTCGATTCGAGCCTTTCTGAGTAAGGTGGTGATGGTCACCACCAAAACGGCCCGAAAAGGCAGTACGATGCGCTAGCGTAGTCGATGCAGGCCAGAGCCAAACCCGATTGGCGCTCGATGCGAGACCACCAGGTCTGCCGATACTCCATACAGCTTCGTCGGCAAGGCCCCAGAGTTGTGCGTCATGTTCCAACAATCAAAGTGACTTCTGAAGCGCGACAAGGGTTCCGCCTATGTGCTGCTCTAGTTGTAGCTGTGCCTCTCTGGTACAGCATGGGATACGTCGTCTAGCGAGAAGCCCTAGAACGATTGCATGGATAATCGTGTAGCATTGTGAAGACATCCAACTAGTATCATTGATGTGACTTCCCACCCCAGACATTGACCAATTCATCTAGTATCGAGACCGACGGAAACTTGCTTATGCTCAAGACGGATCTGAGAATCTCCAGTATCTCCGCTTGTCGATCTGGTGTCTCCATACAGAGTGCCGCTGATGTCAAGTCAGTAATCTGTACATATACGAAGAGCTGGTATAAATACCTGCATAGATAGCCTGGAAGCTGACAAAAGCCGAAGGGGAGTTTTGCGATTGCTGCGCCAAAGCAATACCACATATTGTCGACGTGCTTTCGCGAAGGAGCTTGAAGCGAGTTTGATACGTGTTGAGACCTCCTGTCGTTGGCTGATTGAGAATCATGATTATTCGCGCAAAGTGGTAGGTTTGGATAGCAGCGGCATGTGCGGGAGGGTGTATCCAGATCGGCGTCGGCTTCGCTTCGAGGGTCGAACTTGGAGATGATGCGGTGGGTCCAGTCTCCACAGGTATGGGCTCGAAGCTTGATGGAAGGAGACTTTTCCAAGCATCTAGCATTCGTAGCAGTGTTTCTCCTGCTTCAATGTAGCCAGCTATGTCCCCTTGCTTCGGCGCTGCCGCGAATTGGACACATTTTGCGGCGATATATATGATGCGTGTCGCCAGTCCTTCTGACGTGAGTTCCACCATCGCTACCTTGGGCTGATGTATTGTCAGTGCTGGTCGTCCAGTACGGAAAGCTGCCCAGATGTCTTGCCGCAGCCAAGCCCACCAAACTGCACGTTGCAGACTATCGGGAGACTCGCCGCTTGCGCCTGCGTTCTTTTGTATCCAGAAAGCTCCTCTCAGATGACGGTCCCAATTACTGTGATCGGGATTACCAGCCGTACCAAACATTTCTACGAGTTGGTACATGTGATTAGTACCTTTCGCAAACGTTATTCGCATAGAGACATTGCTTACCATATGTCGAGATCATTGTAGCAGTGACCAATATTTCGCGAGAATTGGTATATGACTGATGCCATATATTCTGCGACAGATACTGCAGTGTCTCATAGTACAGTTGTTCGGCAGCCCTTCGTGGAGTGGACGATGCGCTAGACGACGAAGCGGGCGTACCGGGTTGAACCTGAGAAGCAGCCTCATTGCCGACATCCTGATCCTGGGATAGGGCCATATGACAAGCACCGACTGCCAACAAGGACTTGAGCAGACCTACGTTATGCAAGGCGAGGTGGGGGACAACATTCGCAAAGTGTTTCGCAGGGTCGAAAAGATCCAAGATCGGTGCTACATCACTGACATAATGTTCAAAGTACGTCAGCTCTTGCCGCTTCAACTCAATCCTTGTTTCCGTATTCCATGGTTGCTCGGCTATTGCGACTGTGTGAACGTTGACGCTACCAAAAGGGTCATCATCGCCTGCCAGAGCGACGGATTGCCGAGGGGACTGTCTTCTTGATAAACTTGCAATATCGAAATTCCAGCGATTGCTATTCGTTTGCCCTTGCATACTGTTGATCGCGTCTTCCGCCAGTAGATCATACCTATCAGATCTTAGTCAATGTCAATCTCAATAAGCGAGTCGATGTTACCATTCGACAGGTCCAAAATTAGGCGCCAAGCTTTCCCCGAAGGTGAAAAGACTGTCGTCAAGGAAGAAATCATCGTTTGGTAGTATACTTTCAGTGAGCCCCGGCGGTTCTGCGGGGAATGAGGGCCACGACTGTAACGGCTCCACAGGCTCTGAACCTAGCGTTGGAATGCTTACAGACCCAGGCTCGGTCTCATTGTTTGATGGCGCTGAGTCCCCAATAGCTGCGGTCACGTCGACGTCACGCGCACTTAGTGCTCGCGGGCGTCGGGGTGTTGGGGTCCTCTCAGCATATACACATTCTCGTTGGACTCTCTCGCAGTTTTTGCAACTTGGATGGCTTTCGTCGCACTTGACCTTGCGCTTGCGGCATGTCAAGCTGTCCACTTGTTAGCATTGCGCTTACGATGCTGTGCATAGAGAGGTTCGAGCTTCTGCTTTCACAGTAACTAATGCATGCTTGATCTGCGTGAACTTACCACCCTGTCGAGGTCCTCAGTCCACGTGATTTAGACGGCATGTTGTGCTGTGCTCAGGCTGAGGGCGAGCGAGCGTGCGAAGCGATCGCATCGAGGAACGGAACGCGCTCGATGCGGGCAGGCCGACTCAAATACCAGACACGCGGAAGCTAGCCGCAGTCGCGTGCAGACGTTAGCAGCGACGCTAACTG